TGGGTTAGGGTCATGGCAGTACCTTTTTAGTATGATATATGTATATATAGTACCTTAATTAGTATATATGTAATATACAGTAATGCATGAACAGGCCTAAGTAGTCCAGCACTGCAGCATGGCTGCAGGTTCAATTCCTGCCAGTGACCTATAGTTGCTTTTCTCACTGTCATTCTTGGTTAGGTCTAATAAATGTTTATAAAGTTCTACTCAATAATTTTGATGTAAAAGTCTAAGACCTCTCAAATATCAATCTAATTAATGATTAAACCTACCTTTTAATTTTCTTTTCCTACAGCTAATGATTTAGGTTCAAGAATTCAATAGCAAGGACGAAAGTGGTTTTAATAGCAAACAACCAAGAAATGTTCATGTGACAAGAGCAGCAAATTGTAGCCAGTCTAACAGTAACTGTTTAAGAGTGAATGTCAGTAAAAATCAAACATATTCGTATTTCCGTGGCCAAAGCTCAAAAATCGATTTCGCTCATTTTTTCCCCATACGTAGTCTAATGTGTCTTGAGATGTACCTTATAATCTATGAAGTCATATGCTTGCTTATTATTGAGAAAATAAGGATTTACCGTGACCCCTACGAAATCGCCATTTTAATTGCAAAATATGCATGGTTTTGGGAGACAAAATATGTTACTAAAATTGACTCGTACCGAGTTAAAATGGCCCGAATCGTTTTCCTTGTAAAGTATTTATTCAGTATGCTGATTTTTAGGAAATTTAACGTACGATTTGTACACTAAATAACCTTTACTCTCATAGATATATTCTTACTCTACCAAAGCTGTCCAACATTGGACACTGGTTTTAAACATGCGATAAAGCTTCAAATCATTTAAGATTACCACTATTTACTCTCCAAATTTCTGGCTTTCAAATGATATAAAATTTTCTTTTGGCAAATAAATAGGTGCGGAATTACAGATCGGAGAATTCGCATGTTTTTGACCTTCTGACGTCAAATTTCTCACTGCATTTCAAGTCACTTTCTACTCCCGATATTAATTAATGCACTTCAATGCCATGTCTTACCTTATTCTCACTGACGTTTGGTTTAGTAGAAGCTCCCATTATGTTATATTTGCATAAAAGTTGGGCAAAACACGATTGTAAGTAATAACATAAATAATATATAATACTTCTGTGGCAGTGCTTTCTGTATAAATCATACTAAACGAAGTTAAATCCGATTGTAATCATCTTTACTGTAATGTTTCTGTGATCATCTTAACTTTACAATTCGATACGATTGCAAACAATATTCGCATTTTTACTACCGATCCAGCGAATATCACGACATATTAAAGTAAACAAAAAGCAAATAAAGGAGATTATTAATAGGTTATGATCAAATGGGCGTGGACATTCCTGATTTGAATTTTTGTAACTTTAAAAAATATTTCATTTTAACAGCTTATTAAATTTTTTAAAACCATTAACGATATAAGCATGAAATACATTTGAGTCTGAGACGTAAGGCCGGATTGCATATTTACGTTCATACGAGAAAGCTAGCTGGAGTAGCGACTATGCTAATACTATTAAAATACGGATTAAGGCCACATAAAAAAAATTGTTGGTTAGCGTCCTCGCCCGCCCACAAAAAAGGCCCCGCTTAGGATTTTTTAAAATTTTTTTATTTTAAAAAACCCAACTTTTATTGATGAACGGGCTCTAATATATGTATTTCTGTTGATTGTAGTCAATTGTGTTAATAAGTTGCGAAATTGCGTGCGAAAATGACGGTATGAATCATATTTTGAAATATATAAAAAAATATCTGTACTGCGCAAGAAAATCCAGTTTCGGACCTAAAACCAAGGCGTTAAAAATTAGTAAAAATTTAAAGCGCCCGCCCGCCCACTTTTTGGCAAAAGCTAAGGACGCTATAAACCAACTATTTTTTTATCTGGCCTAAAGCTGAGGCAACGAAATTTGACATTTTCCGTTTGAATTGAGTATAATTTCTCAACTTTATGATTGTTTTTAGAAACAGAAAATATTCATTTTCTCTAACTCTATATGCATGACCTTTCTTGAAAACAAAGTAAGAAAATCAACAGAATCGCCACATTACAAGTTTCGTGGTTGATCGCGAAATGAAATGTTTTGCAAGTGCTAATTTTATTCGGATTTAATCTTGAGAAGCTGTACACATAAACTGCATAATTATGAACAAACAGAAATATTCTTCCCCAGCCCTCTCACCCTGCCCCCAGCCGAAACGTCTCGGTATAACCGGACTCATATAAAAATGATATTTCTTACCTAATTCTATGTTACCAATGTCAATGAATATATCATAACCTTTTGCGTAATCGTTTGCTGCATGCGTTACTGTTCAACTCCAACCAGTCCCTTTTAACGGTCGTTTTCTAATATTCAAATCATTAATATTCGTGTTTATCTGTCTCATGCAATGATCAATGTAATTGATGCTGTTTTCATAGGATCGCAGTTTTTACTTGCAACGGTAAGAGTTGTTCACTTATTCGTTGACTGAAATTATTGGGAAGTAACGGATATCAACTTAAGTTTACAAAGACTTGAAGACCAATATTTTGGACCTTCGCAGTTCATCGTTGTTCATACATGGAGCTAAATGTGAAATATCTGTAAAACAAAGTACTTTTAAATTTGCAAACAGTATATAGTTAATTTCTTCCTTCATTACTGCATGTTTACTTACTGTAAAAGTAAACGCTGGTACAGATGTTACCTAATTCTGAGAGGCATGGCAGGTTTTGCTGCTTTACCCTTGGCAGGTGCAGTTACCAATAAAATTTGTTAGTATTTCGATATAAGGCTTCTTCCTCTTTGCCTTAATAAAGGAAGTGTCTAAGTCATAAAATGTGCATATTTCTTGCAACATCGATATCGAGAATTTTGAGAACTTCGAGCCTGTTGCTAAATCACAAAGATCGTAGGTATCAAACATGATGGGATGAATTAGACCTACTTCGTTGATGATATTTGTGGCAAGGTTTTCAATGCCTTCCTCTTCTAGTTGCGCTTCTAATTCCTCTTCCTCTCCCTCTAGCCTTGATTCGCCAACTTGAACCGCTCTCCTCTTTCTTGCAAGGCGAGAGAAAAAACTTGCGATTTGCTTTGCTGTGAGGTACTCGCTTGCATCAAACAAAAAGGAGCCATCGACCTTGCGTGCTTTTCTCATCGATTTAGAAACGTTGTTAGCATCTACCTTGTGGCCGGTTTGTTCCCCAACATCGAATAACTTACATAGGTAAAGCTTTTGATTCTCACTAAATCTCTTTCTCAGTACTGTTGAAAACTTCAGCGCCCAACCTTTTGGCAGAGGATCTAGGGCGCGGCAAGAACTTAGGTCGTCCGACGTCTGACACCCAAGCGATATATCTCTTTTGTCAAGTTTGGTCGCGTATGATAGCATTGCTTTATCAAGAAATGTTTCGCGTTCCAGTGCATACTTATGCTTTCCGAAATCAAGGTGGTTTTCAAGGTTTGAAAATCGTTGGAACGACTTAACGCAACCGTTTTCTGGACACGGAAATAACTGAGACCCTTGAGAAGTTTCTTCTTCAACATCTGAATTGGAGCTGCCATCTACTTCAGGTTGATTTGCACTGTGCGAAGGTTTCGCTGGGGGTATCTTTCTTGCTTTCACATCCGTGAACGTAGCTTTGGGAGAAGTCGGACCTTCATTGATGTTAATGTGTGGAATGGAAATTGTTTCAGGCAGATTGAATTCACTCCATTCTCGAAACTTTCCCTGGCCAATATTGTATTCTCGCCACACTTTCATGCCATTCTCGCAATATGAAATGTTGTTAACAAAACTTACACCTTCCCATTTTAATGGCTCTAACGTAGGTACGGAAGGGGTGTCACAGAGCATGACTCTTACACCTTCGATGCCACTTCGTGATTCTATAGCCATCTTCATTTGCTTGGCGGTTTCCACGTCGTTGCCAGAGTTAAGGTACGCTTTTATTTTGTTTTTGATAGTGGCAGCTTTTCGGTTACAAGCCCCTTTACCACCTTGAGGGTCCGAAAAATCGACTCTTAATTCTACCTCGTATTTTGTTGCAACCTGTTTCATGGCCAGTAAGTTTAATGCACTATGGTAGCACCCAGCGTTGTCCTGACGAAAGAAAATCTGCTTGATTTCAGGCCTCTCAGACTTAAGTTGGTTAACAACAACATCGATTATCGCTAGTACTGTAGGGCTGTCTTGGGTGCAGCTTTGGAAAGCATGGACAAACGTCAACAACTCCAAACAATCCTTTCGCTTGGTCATAGCCACGGCAATGTGCCATGAAATACCACGCTTTCCAAACCAATCGGATTGGCTTTCACGGTATTTTCTTGGCAAAAATTTCATTGCCCAATCTAAAACAACTAGAACTGAGGCCGAGTCGAGATCACGAAGGAGGTTCAGCCGAGCTTCATCTTGGTTGATGTCACGTAATAGGTGAGCTTTCCAGGCCATTATATTCTTCTTGGATTGAGTAATTAAATATTCCATTTCGTTCCTCTCTTCATTGTCGATGGCTAATAAATCTTTCAAACTTGATTCAACTTCTTCGAAAATAAAAGGGATCAACTCACACCTGTCACATTTTAGGTCATGTTCATGATCACATTCAGTGACGAAGTCTCCATCACTTGCATCGCTCAGAGCAAATGGCCTGCAGTGGTCAGCCACACGCGAGCTGGTCGAAACATGTACCTGAAAAATAAAAAAAAATTCGCAGTTAGAAATTTTGAATTTTCAGAAAAGAAGAAGATAACCGATTATTTCACATACCTTGTAGTCACTTTTCAAATAACGTTTGGCAGTTTTCAATTTTCTATTCATGTTCTTCACCCAAGTGTGACCTCGCCCATATTCATGGCCTAGCTTCTCAATTACTTCTTGAACGTCATCGAAGGCTTTTGCACCATCTGCAGTAAAGTAGTCCAGTCCTTGTAATGATTTCCTTATAGAAGCACTGCATACATTCAAAATTCTGCATAGACTACTGCGACTCATAGGGTCAAATCCAGTGTCCTGGCAATAGCTCTGGTATTGCTGCACCACCTGTTCAGGTACAAGGGTGCGAACAACATTGGGAACTGTAATTTTCGTACCACTAGATAGCTTCACAGTCTTTTCTCCAAATGGCAAATCTTGAATGATTTGACTGCTGGTTATAAACGTTAGAAAATGGTCAAGTTTCTCAGCTGAGATGTGGACACGTGTGGCCTTTCCAATGGCAACTGGAGAACCCCTCCCATGTAGCAATGTGTGATGACGAGCCACATTGAACCTGTAATTAGTGAGTCCAGGAATCCAATTTTTCAGGATTGAGAAGGACACTTTGTCGGCCATGATTGATAAGATCTGCCTTCTTGTGCTCCAATGACTTGCATTATTGTAACACTCGACAAGGGATTCCATTAGTGTCTTATCAACACTCCCGTCGTCTTCTGCGGTTGATTGTACAGATTGAAGCAACATTTTCGAGCTTGCTGGGGCAATTTCCTCTAAAACTGCGAAGACAACTTGTTTCGCTTTACGGACATGGCGTCGCTTGGTTCTCTGCGAAGCTTCTTCCCAAGGCACGGTCAGTTGTGCTCTTATAGGGCTGACGTCCCTTGCAGCAAGAAACGAATTAAGAAGGTCTCTCGGAATTTGTTTTGGGTCGGTTTCTGTTAGAAGCGAGAAATCAGATGGCGTATAAGCTGTGTATGGGGTGTCAAATGCGGTAACATTTTGCGCGTAGTGCAATTCTGGACTCTTTTCAGCTGCTGTACAGGTAACTTCTTCGTCCTGTTAAATTTAAATCACAATAAGACTGACGTCGTAGAATTAAGAACAGAATTTTACATAAATTGCTAGCGACAGCTTGATTTGCTATTACGCCCACTATCATATTTTTACCAATACTAGCTTTTCCATTTCTTCTCCCAATTCTTGTACCACTGACTCTGATGTCCCATTTCCCAAGTCCTTCAATACTCCCCGGCACTTTTTGCAAATAGCTGAAATATTAACGGATACACGTATATACACACTTCTTCTCCCGCTCTACAATGAAAGAAACACCTTATCGAGAAACAGAGGTATAGCCAGGGCGGGGGTCGCACCCCCTCTCTGGTAAAATTGTGCCCCCCGCCCCGAAGAGAAAATTAATTCTATAAAAATAAGTGAACATTGGCCCCACCTAGGTTTTTGCAGCCCGCCCTGACCAACAATCCTGGCTCAAAGATAAACACAATTACCTGATCCAGCGGCGACAAACACTCCTGTATTACACAATATCATTTTCGACTCCTGCTTCCAAATACCTCGGTCGCCTTTTGGCCACGTGTCTCTGGATTTGCCATGTCCTGAAATCGCCTGCGGAACTCTACACCTAGTACTACCGCCTCTTGTCCAACTTATGCCTAGGACTGCACGGTGATGGGGACAAATTGTCATTGACTCGATGCTTTCTCTGGGCTTGTCAAACCACGCCACCCGAGACAAAATGAGATCAATCTCATCCTTAACCCCCGAAAAGCTATGAGAGAACAAATGCCTCGAGATATTCTTTGAACATGACAGTAAAGGAATAATTTGGGTCTGACGTTTTCGATCCTTGGCATCGAAACCGCAAGAACTACCGACGACAGACTTAAACGAGCAACATGCTTCCATTATTAGTAAAACTACTTTCATCAAACACTTCTCACTTAGGCAATTTGCTGCAGTGAAATAGGTGGGCGGGGTAATGATAGTTTGTTTAAAACGTCATTTGTAATAAAAAATACCGACTAATTAAGAATTAAGTGAAGAATTCAGTGTAACACATTTTCTGTGTACCTTCATGTAAACAGATATTATACCTAAGCAAATATTATTACTATACAACTCTCTAAACTTTGTTATTGAATGAGTTAATAACAATTCTGCTCAAAATAAAGGGGGACCCGCAGATATAAACATTGCCTAAATTTTGGAAACAAAGCATTTGTTTACATTACAAAATTTACAGCATCTTTAATCTATTAATAACTGTTTTAGGCTATTTTAAATTCATAACCTATTAATAACATTTTTCATCGCTGTTTGTTTACTTTCATAATATGTCGTGGTATTTGCCAGAATGGTAGTAAATATGTAAATATAGATGATCGAAGAAACATTAAAGATGTTTACAATCGGATTTAACTTTGTTTAATATGATTTATACACTCGGCTCATGCAGAACTGTATGTTATTAATTACAATCGTCGGTCTGTTTATACATTAATGTTGTCGTGCTGAGTTTTGCCCGACTTTTATGCAAATACAATATAATGGATAAATTATGGGAACTTCTGTTAAACCTAAAGTCAGTGAGAATAAGGTAAGACTTGGCATTGAAGTGTATTTAATATCGGAAGTAAACAGTGACTGATATGCAAAGTGAGAAAGTAATGACCTCAGCAGGTCAGAAAACATGAGATTGATGAAAATTCGCCGATCTGTAATTCCGCACCTATTTATTTGCCAAAAGAAAATTTTACATCATTTGAAAGCCAGAAACTTGGAGAGTACACAGTGGTAATCTTAAATGATTTGAAGCTTTATCGCATGTTTAAAACAAGTGTCCAATGTTGGACAGTTTTGGTAGAGTAAGAATATATTTCTGAAAGTATAGATTATTTGGTGTACAAATCGTACGTTAAATTTTCTAAAAATCAGTATACTGAGTAATTACTTGTCAAGGAAAACGATTCGGGCCATTTTAACTCGGTACGAGTCAATTTTAGTAACAAATTTTGTCTCCCAAAATCATGCATATTTTACAACTAAAATGGCGATTTCGTATGGGTTACTGTATATCCTTATTTTCTCAATAATAAGCAAGCGCATGACTTCATAGAGTATACAGAACATCTCAAGACACATTGGGCTACATATGGGGAAAAAATGAGCGAAATTGATTTTTGGGCTTTGGCCACTTATTCTTCGATTTTTGTGGACATCCACTCTTAACTAGTTTAGCCAATATTTTAGTGTGTTTTTACGTATTTACGTTCAATATTGTCTTTCATATTGCTCAAAATTTTCAACTTGTTGTGTTGCGAACTGTCAAACTGAAATGATACTGTCTTCTATTAACTCTTGAACAGTAGTGAACTGTCGCCGAAACTTATGTAAGTTCTGTCAATCAATTCAATTCACAGGTATCGTTTTATCTGCTAAATCAGATAAAACAGTTATGAGTTGTTTTATATGAAAAGTTAAACTTGTAGTTCGATGTTTTGAAAAGTTTTCACACCGATTTTAACAACAAAAACAAATGTAAACTAACACTGGATTTAATACAATGCGTATAATAGTGTTTTTTATTAGTATTTTCAAGATTAATATTTTATTTTCATGTCAAACAAGTCAGAAATATCTGTTTTCGTATGTATTGTAAGCCAAAAAGTTGAAATCACTATAAATCACACGCTACAATTTACACGCATGCGCAGATCGTGCTCATGTCGAGTCGATTTTTTTTCATGCTGGCCACGCCGATTTTAGCGATGATTTTCTCGTGTTTTCTTCGGTGAAATTTTTTTAAACTTTGTATTTTTGTTATACAAGACGAGTGGTACAACATATCCAAATTTTAAGAAATTCTACAAATAACTTTTTCTGTAACCGTCATTCACGAATATCTCGAAAACTTATTTGTAAATTCCCTTCAAATTTTGATATGTTTTTCCTTTATGGGCCATAAATCTTCAAAAAAAATTTCAGAGAAATTCACCGAAGGAAAATATAGATATTGTCAATTTATTGTGAAATTAGACAATAAAAGTGCAAAAGATTAAACATCATGGTTGCCATGGCAACACGAACACTGTTTTAATTTGTTCATAAATGGACAGCACACAGCTTCTGAGCTTTCCTGGAAATGATCATATTGCCTTGTCTTAAGTGTATCTAATATAAATTCGGTTCAAAGCGAACATTACTCAAAATACCTAGAATTTTAGAGAACTGTAGGGAGCCACCTTAAGCTGTGGCACATTGTGGCCCAATGGGTCATTGAAAACTGTAGCATACATACACCCTGCTAATAGACAACATATTATATGTTGTTGTAAATATACTGTTAAATGTTCAATGTTACTTGGCAAAGTGAAATAAATAAATAAATATCCAACTGTTGAGAACAATATTTGGGGCCGGGCTATAACCCAGCTGCAATATTTAATACTAAAATATATAAAGCTTTGTCTGGATCGGCACTAGTACATCTTGAAGCTTTACAGATATATCATTCTATACACGTATACAACTGAATTAAGCTCATTCACCCATTAAAGAGAATTAAAGAGCTAATTGCAAGACCAAGTAAAATTGTCTGGCATTGGACAGACTAGTAATGCAATAGTACATTAGTAGGGTGCATTTTGGGCACATGCATTGCAGCTTAATGGGTTATTGATGATCAATACACTGAAAATATCATATTAAATGCTGTATTATATTAAATTATTCTGTAATTCCAATCCTTATTGAAGTACTAAAATGTTATTAACATATATATCTTTAATATGTTTAATTATTATTTCATATACTTTGACAGGACATTCAGTGGTTGAATGTGACTGTTGTTGCAGGTTCACACATCTGTCTCATGTTTTGCATCTTCAGTCACCATTTTGAAAATGTCATCCTCTAGCCCAACACTTTCATCATCACTGACTTCATTCATGACACTATTAATAAAATGTATTTTAGATTTAACACAGCAAAAATTATTGTTGTGATACAGTAATTATCACTACATGTATTAAATCTGTAATGAAACATATCTTTAGAGTTAAAACCACTGATTATAAGAGATACTCTATTACTACATAGTATACCTTGAATGGGGATTAAAGGGTATGAGCAACAAAAAATTTTATTGCTTCATCTGAAAGAGCATGAAAAATAAGCCGATTGGCCGTTTAACACTCTATTCTATCTCATCTGGTTCCGAAGTTATACGCAAAAATCTGCAAAATATAAATTGCTGATTCAGCACAATGTGTGACGTCATTAGCTGGGTAAGTATGTTTATTGAATAGCAATGGCTCAGTTATTATCAGCTCAAATCAAATGAAATTTTGCATACAGATAGTACATGATGAGACGCATAGGAAAATACCTCTAATTTTGTTGTCAAGACAACACAGTCGTTCCCAGGCCCCTTACACTGATTTTGAATAACTAGTTGCATTTATCAATGGGTATGTCATTTTCGAATTATTATCATGCAAGTAAACTTTTGGCATGCATAGGTATGGTACACATACTTCTGATATTATTTTATTCTTATAAGTACCATGAATAAAGCTGTTTTATAAAATTGGCGCTAGGGGCCTTGGAACGACATTGTTACCTTGGCAACAAAATTAGAAGTGTTTTTCAATGTGTCTCATCATGTACAATCAGTACCCAAAATTTCATTTGATTTGGGCCCATAATAACTGAGCTATGCTTCAGTTTAGTATTCAGTAAACATGTTTACCCAGCTAATGACGTCACACATTGTGCTGAATCAACAATTCATATTTTGCACATTTTTGCGTATAACTTCGGAACTAGATGAGATAGAGTAGAGCATTAAACGGCCAATTGGCTTATTTTTTATGCTCTTTCAGATGAAGCAATAAAATTTTTTGTTGCTCATACCCTTTAAATTAAACATATATAATAACTTACTCAGGGGTTGCTTTGTCTTTTCATGTTGTCTTGTTCAGCATTCAATTCTTCTATAGAGAGGTTTAAGAGTTCTTTAAATTGATCACAAGAGATGGCATGATAGTGTGTAGCAATAGCAAAGCATTTGCTAATAATTATATTAATAGTTAAACCTTTCTGTGAAAAATTGCCATTTTTTATTTGATGATGTTTTATACAAGCAGGTTGATGGTGTAGCAATGGGTTCACCCTTAGGCCGATTGTTTGCTAATATATTCCTATCTTTTCATGAAAAATCCTGGTTAGCTGACTGCCCTTCTGTTTTTAAGCCTATATTCTACCGTCGGTATGTTGATGATTGTTTTCTTATTTTCACATCACACGACCATGTTATTCCTTTACTTTCCTATCTAAACTCGAAACACCACAACATTCAATTTAGTCATGAGCTTGAAGGAAATTTGTGCCTAACTTTTCTAGACATCAAAGTCATTCATTGTAACGGTTCTTTCACTACCACGGTTCATCATAAATCTACCTCTACGGGATTGTTTACCAATTTTGACAGTTTTATTCCAATGCTGTACAAGAAAGGTTTACTTTTCTCACTTATCTCTCTCGTTATTTCAACATTTGCTCTTCTTATGTATTTTTCCATTCGGAAATGGAAAAGTTCAAGAAAACCTTCTCTCTTAATGGTTATCCTGCAACACCTGAGGATAGTTGTATCAAATCATTCCTTGACAAAATGTATAATTCTCGTGATAAAGTTCATACTTGCTTGAAAAAGGTTATATATTTTTTGTATTCCTTTTACTGGTCATCATGTTTTGCAAATTCGATCACAACTTCAAAAATTTCTTTCCTCTGCCTATCCACACATTTCTTTACGTGTCGTCTTTTGTCCTTCTTTCCGTCTTTCTAATTTCTTTCCATTTAAGGACAAAATTCCCTGTGAGCTGAGATCACATGTGGTGTATTTGTATAAGTGTCAATGCTGTGGTGCATTGTATGTTGGTCAAACTCACTGACACATACACATGCATATCTCTGAACACATGGGTTTTTCACCTTTGACTGGAAAGAAACATTCTGCTTCAACCATGTCAGGCATACTCACTCATATCCATACCACTAAACATCAAATTTCACCCTCTGATTTTAAAATCCTTGCCAGTGCTAGTAGTTCTGAAGCAATAAATAGCCAATAAATTATATATTTTGTTATGTCTTGTCTCAAAGTCATTTGCTGGGCTTTAATTTTCATTTTTAAATTGCGCTTTAAAACGTTCAAAATAGAATATTTTGGGGGCTTTTGGGCTCAAAATACTATCAAAATGAAGAGAGAAATGAGACGATCACTGGTATAAGGCCAAAAAAAGAGAAAACCAATGAAACCAAAGTTATTAAGGATCAAACATACTGTATTTTTTTATAATTAGTTTAATAATTTTGAGCGATTTGTCAACAATACAATTTCGCTTGACTTTCAAAGACAAAGGCCATAAATCGCTAGAATACTGTTGTTTAGTAATACATTTGACATCCATAATTAGTACAATTTCTAACTCTGAATCGAACAGTGGTATTTTTATCCTTATTGCACTGTAAAGCCCAAATTATAATTTATAATTATCGGTGTACGCAGGCTCAAGATCAAATATTATTTAAGGGTGAATTTCGGCCTGTTCAGTTTGTATGTTAGAACTTTGTCGAAGAACAGTGACGATTAACCGAGAGATATTATTTATATGACAACTAGCTAGGGCGATTCCTCATTGTGAGGTAAGAAATTTGTATATGTATGTATTTAGTATTATTGTACGGTATAACTGTAATTCGACTTAGTTTATAGGTAGGATTCATTGTTTATGTAACTTGTATTTAGAAAACCAACAAATCGAGAAACAAACGTTTATAATTCATAAAAGAAAACTGTCGTGTCTATCTCATTGGGGAATCCGTAGCACTTGGTGGCTACATGCACCATTAGGCATTTAATACAAATACACTACGAAACGTACTGCGAGTGATTTGTCGACAATACGTACTGCGAGCAAATTGTCAACAATACAATTTCGTTTGATTTTCAAAGGCCATAAATCGCTAGAATACTGGTGCTTAGTAATAAATTTGACATATGTAAGTACAGTTTCTTATGCTGAATTGAACAGTGGTACGTATTTTTATCCTTATTGCGCCATTAGGCAGTACAAATACAAGGACAAACACAGTGTGAGTAATTTGTCAACAAAACGTACTGCGAGTGATTTGTCATACAATACAATTTCGCTTGATTTTCAAAGGCCATAAATCGCTAGAATGCTGGTGTTTAGTAATACACTTGACATCCGTAAGTACAATTTCTTACGCTGAATCGAACAGTGTTGCTTTCTTCTCAAAATATGAAGCTGCACAGCCAATTGCAATTTGCGAAGGTTGCTGTTTCCATGTCGAAATTCCTTGCAAAATTATTCAATTTTCCTGAATTTTCCTCAAAATGCAGGGTTATAAGTATATACAGTACATGCGAGAAGCTGATTTCTGTGAGTTCTGGAATAAAACCTATACCAGGTACTGTTGAGCAGAGGGGCAAGTGGCCCCTCCCCCCACTCTTTTCCTTACCTTTATTACTGCTCTTACTTTGTAAATTAATGCTTCTCTGGCATTTATTTTTATTTCATCCCCCCCCCCCACTTTTTTCTCATGACATGACAAAGCACTGTTGCTATCATGATTGTGTCACTAGTAATGCAAACATTTGAATTGTCAAATATGGCTATTAAAATACCTTTTATTAAGGGATACATCCTCTTGCCTTCCCAAATTGGAGACAGATGGAATGGTCATGGGATGAATAGGCATGTTCTTTAGGGGAGTTGATATCATTGAACCTAAAAATACTGCACCTTTTGAGTAACATTTAGAGACTATTGTGGCATAAAATTATTACTAGGACGGCAATATGGTTCTCATTACCTATGTCTAAACTTAAAAAACTTTAAAAGCTCTAGAACCTGCTAAAGCCACCGTGGTTTAGCCACCATTTCCACTCTGTACTACTTATGTGATGATGAACAAAATGTAAACAACCTGATTACTGCTGATGTGAAATTTTCTGAATGCCATGGAGTCGATGCTAATAATGAATACCACCAACATCATTACAGACGCCCAACAAGAAGAGTGGACAAAAGACCATAAACAGCAAAAAACTTACCCTCAAGGATTTCTACAGAAAAGAATTCATCCAAGTCCTCGACGAACAAACACAAGCCCTTACCGACAATGTTGAAGACATGCAAAATTCTTGCCTCGGCAATTAACCTCGCAAAATTGTCTGTTTTATCTGTCAAATTGCCATTTCAAATGCTTTAGATATTGGTCTCCAATAAACAATTTATCATTCTTCATTATAATTTATGAACAACAGTCGGTCCCGGATCTTTCCCGAATCAAAAGTCGGTCCCGTATCCGTCCAAACCCCCCTTAAAATTTATTAAATGTGCGCCCCTGTTTCTACAGGACGCTGATGAAAATAATTTGCTTTCCTTTTAATTATCATGAACTTCTACAAAACTTAAAGGGGCCCTACAGTAATTTTTTAGTCGAAAAGCCACCTTAAGTAGGGAACTCCACAGAGGTTCGTTTGGCTGTATCTTACATGCAGTATCCATGAGTATGAGTACTTCAGCACACCGGAAGACACATGCATGCTGTGTTGTGCATGTCAAGTAGCGACAATAACAAAAAATGTAAACAATCCCAAAAGGTAGCTTTTCAACTAAAAAATGACTGTAGGGCCCCTTTAATTTAACTAAGAAACTTTCACATACAATGCATAGGAAAGACTTGAGAAAGAACAAAGTCTATAGAGTATATTTATCTAATACAAAGGCATACATAAACAATTGAAACAAACTTGCCCCATACTTTAGATCAGTTTAGGATTTCTTATGCTAAATCAATTCTTATACATGTTTGTTTAAAAATTGAAGAACGTTTTACAATTTTCCAAGTTTTCTTACATGTATTTTTAATATTTTTGCCTTCTTCAATCCTGGCAAACAGGCCATATTTTGAAATCAGTGATGACCACCCAGCCAACACCGAACCATGCATGGTAACCCATGCCCGCAATCATTGATGATCGAACTTTCAGCTTTGCAAATGCTTGAACTCCCCTGTAGAATCAAACACTATGTAATTGCTATTTAATTCATATTTTATTGGGCTATTTAATTCCTATTTGTCAAAGTATTTATTTCCTATTTTTACTATGATTTTCTCTCAAGGTTTTTCCCTATTTAAATTAGGTATGCCTGCTCATTTGTAGCAATATTCAATATAAAATTATTCATTCAATTTAATCTATTATACATTTAATAAAGTTATATTCTTTCAGTTTAATCTTTTATACTCATTCAATTCAATATAAAATGTTCATTCAATTTAATCATTTGTGTGTACATGTATTTAATTTAATCCTGTAACAATATGCATTCGATAAAAATATTCATTCAATATTAAAAAATTCATTCAATATTTGAGGACGGGGTCGAGTGCTCAGTTAGCACCACCAGATGTATGGAATTTAGTACGAGTTCATACGTTTTCGCCGCCATTGTCAAACAATGATAACAAAGGCTGCTGAATTGCTTCAGCAAGCATCCACGATGTTGTTGTCGGTGAATGAAAATTTGTCTGAAACCAATTCTCGCTCAACAGCTACCAATGCTGGTATGCCTGGAACAGCAGCAGCTACTGCAATTGCCCATACCAGAGCTATGTGATACTCTAGCACAAGCTAAATCAACGTTTGAATGCTGTCTTGTACAGACGTCTAAATAAAAATGAATGCCTGCGAGCTGCTGCCGGAAAATCATCATCTTCATCCTTACAAGGCTCAAGTTCAAGCAAGAAAGAAAAACCACTGCGAAGTTCAGCGAAAAAGCTGTTTGAATTTGCACTGCTTCGAGCAACTGAGGTAGACAGTGACAGTGAGGAAGAAGATTGACTGTATTATCAACAGAGGTATTATTACTTTAGGTCCTTCTACACTGAGAAATTCATTTTAGGGACTCTGGATATCAAATTTTCATGGGGTGCATCGCCCCGGACCCCCTACCCTTCGCCGTTCGCTTCGCACCTCGATACGTTAAGGTCTTCCTACACCACTGTCAATAACTAGGGGATTTGCCTACTTTTTGACTGACTGTGATAATGGATGTGGGTTACTGGGAATGATTGACAGAAATATGGGTTTAACCCATAAACTATTATTTACCATTGTACACCTGTTCATGTCAGCTGTTACAATGATTTTTCATATTGTTCACCTTGACGTAAATCCTACAGTCTTTAAAAATCAAACAGCAATATAATACAACAATTGTATAAGGAAGGCTAAGGAATGCTAAGGAAGGCTAGGGAAGGGTAAGGAAGGCTAGGGAGGCTAAGGAATGTTAAGGAAGGCTAGGGAATCCCAAGGAAGGCTAGGGAATCCCAAGGAAGGCTAGGGAATCCCAAGGAAGGCTAAGGAAGACCAAGGAAGGCTAGGGAATGCAAAGGAAGCTAGGGAACGTAAAGGAAGGCTAGGGAATGCCATGAACGCCTGTTCATGTTGGCCGTTAAAATGGTTTTTCATATTGCTCACCTTGACGTAAATACTACAGTCTTTAAAAATCAGGCCGCAATATAGCACAGCAAAATTGTATATATATTACTTAATTACTTAGTTTCTAGCTTATCTGATCATTTCATCAATCCATAAATAACTTAATGATTTCATTCAACTGTAACGTAGGTTTAGTTTTGTAAAGCGCGCTTAGAACATAGAAATAATGAAATTTTAAGCCGAAACACATGCTCAAAATTCACAAATGAAGATAGTAAATATTTCATTTCAAAATTGCTCTCTTTGTATATAAAACATAACAAAATTCTCACCTGGATGTTACCCAGTCATCCCTGATGTTTAATCTTTAAAATACATATCATTTTCGCTAAATGAAAGCTCTGTATTTCGAGTGGAAAATTTAAACTAAAAAAATTTTAAAATAAGGCGGTGTGAATTGTGACGCTATACCAGAAAGCTTTGCGCATCTAGGCATGTCAAGCTTTGCGCATCTAGGCATGGTTCTATCAAACCACGCTCATTGTGAGAATTTTTGGTGGTGTTTTGTCGAAAAATGGTGTTTTGGCAAGTGACAAAATAACTACCAACACAAAAACTATAAATATTTTTGTAAATATAATATTTCCATTATCTCATGAAAAATTTTAAATTAACTCAAACTGGGAAATTTGGACCAGTTAAATAAATACATTTACCCTTTCTCAATTCTCACAACTTTCTATGAATATGAAATAAATAGCTATTTAAAATCTAATTATTTTGCTATTTATTAGCTATATATTGAAATTTCGCGAATTTTAGCCAAGAAAGGTTTGCTAAGCATCACTTAAAAACATAAAATGTTAAAATACTAAATGTTTAAAATACTAAAAGTTCTAAAAAATTCTAAAAATCCCTTTCAACACTCATTGTATTAATTGGCATTTTACTAGTTTCTTTGTTAGACCTCTTCAGAACCGCTATTTTGTTTCTATAGCTATACTTCATGTAGTTATACTTATTTGTGTCTTATACTTCCACTTGTATTACATGGCACATTAATCTAACACTACTTGTGCTCATGGAAAGCTAACATAATTCCACTCGTTCTTTGTGTTCATAAGTTTTCTCCTGGTGTATTCCTTACCAAAACCAACTCCGTAATTTGTCGTAACATTGCGTCATCACCAAAAATTCCAGTCCCGTCCATAACATAAGCAGGTATCTTTTCCCCATGTTTCTCATGTGCATGTTTCAACATAACCGATTGGTCCTGACCAGTTTTACTTGCTTTTAGGTGTTCCAGCTAGTCCACAGCTGTAGGTGCTTCTGGCTGTTTTCCCTACATACTTACAATTGCATTCCTTGCATACTATTTCATATGTTGATATGCAAACAGATATGCAAACAAGGCAATCATCTCTTTGGAGTTTCTTACTTTTGAAAGGGTTGGATCTCTGTAAATAGCATTTAAGTGGTATACCTAACTGTTTACCTTAATCTTCATTCCTGCTTCATCAATCTCTTTCTAATATCGACGTTTTAACTCTGATCCAGGAGAAGCTGGCACAAATATTATGCTGTCGTGACCTCCCATTCTGTACCACTCGTTCTGTTCTTTTGCTTTTCTTTCACTCTCTCAATTTTCTTCCATGTTCTTGGTTTGTACATAGGTTTTTTGCTGCAAGCATCCAATCTCAGAATATGTTTGTATGCATTCAGAGCAGACTTGACGACCTCCGTACAAAATTTTTTATCATACCCTGAATCAGTCAAATGCATCATACGGTTCATGTGTTTGACAAAGACTTGCCATGGCAAGTCAACGCTGCAGTTTAACAGAATCATAAGCACTTCTTGGGTTAATATCGTTCTCTTACTTCTCCACGATAGTGCTAACCTTGCATTGATTACATATGCAGAGGAAATTTCTTTTGAGTAGTACTCGTGCAAAACTCTACTTTCACTCTGTGATCCATCTCTATTCCTCTTCTCTATCCAAACTTTAAGATCTAATATCAGGAGTTTGCCATCATGATGTTGTGATGGGCAATCAATCTCTACCTCAATCGAAGGATGAATACTGTTGGCGACTGACTGGAATAACCTCATTGTTCTCTCATCCGTGTCCATATTTCCATAATTTATCACGTATATGCAGTTCATACTATTGAAGTTGAAGTAAATAACAATAAATTTGAATACTGGTCCTATAATTATTTAGGTTACACAATGTCTCACACCAGTACTTGTCCCATTACCTATTTTCACGAAAACAAATGCCTTTCCTACTCTCTCCTTTTTCTCTCGACTTATCGTTTCCAATTAACCCATTCACCCCTCCTTTAATTTCTATAATCGTTATTGCCATAATTTATCACGTATATGCAGTTCATACTATTGAAGTTGAAGTTTGAATACTGGTCCTATAATTATTTAGCTCGATCTTCTTCGACACTTTTTTCATCAGTTTATTGCCATCAAACCTCACTCCTAATTTAGGAGGTGTCATTATGTTGTTGATATTGTCCATATAACATTTGTATGTCCACAATTTCAATCCAATTCTCGCCAACCTGTCTCCCAACTCTCTGTCCCACCATACCATACAAAGTTGTGCCAAGACACCTGTTAACTCCAAACCAATGGGGCCGCCTTTTGATTGCAATCTTATCTCATTGTCAAAGGTATACAAATGATTCTTTATAATGAATAGGAGAACTATTTTCAAGGCCTCTGTAAGCATCTTTCGTACCACTAGCTCATGTGGGGCAGGGGCTCTAGATGGTAGGAGCCATGCTTGAAATCTTTTTTCTCTAGTATCACTCATAGCACATCCTGTTATAATGGGTAGTCTTCCTCTTCTTGTTTTCCGAGTTGGGCAGTACGGGAGTAACCCTAGTTCCCCCAGTTCAACCTCGGATAGGTTCACAGCTACAATCATAGACAAAACTCACGAGGACAACTTGGTCTAAATTGAGCTTGTCACCTTAGTTGCGAGGTATTTTTTATTAGAAGATGAAAATAACTCTTAACCCCCATTCCCCCAGCACAATGTTGTTTACTTTATTTTGTATGTATCACCGAAGACATTCCCATCTCATCAACATTGTCTCAGGGGTGGGGGGATGAGTATTTGCAATTATATTTAGACATTTAAATTTTAGACGCCTTTTCCATTTGCTTGTCTGAGTGTTTTTTTCTAGGATTGTCTAAAAATAATGTATTTTACGAATTCACAATTTTGTGCTATAAAATGACAATAAATGTTTTCAATTATAAAACTTACAAATGCTGCATAATTATCTTGTAACAGATATGACGTCTTTCAAAGCATTCATAATTACCAAAAATAAATATGTTGTTATAAATCAATTTTGACATGTCTCATGGAGGAAATGTCAACACAACGAGTGTAGGCGAAAGTAATTTTGATCATAGTGGGTAGAGAATGATATTGGAAAGAACAGCCTTAGCACCTCAGCTATGAGAAGTGTTTATTTAATAACTTATTAGCCAGACGGATTTACAGAAATTTACATGTTGAGCGGACTTCGCCAGAGCAGTCGTGGAAAGCTTTACTCAAGGAAACTGCAATGTGAGCCATTGGTGTTGCAGTTTAGAGGAGCACACCTCAGGGGGGAAACATTATCACATGTCCTTGAAGCTTAACAAAGTGTAGTGTTGGTTAGCATCAAAGAGATTTCTAGCACAAACCTACGGTATTTCAGTTCATTATTCCAACGTCCATCACAACTACTTTAGTGCCTGGCGATATGTAACGAAAAGTGACACACAATATGAAGAAAGTCATCCTGATTTACGGAATGTGAAGAGTCCAAAAACGAGCGAAGCGAGCGCGAAGAAGAGCAATGATGCCACGAAGAGAAAACGTAAAAACTATACCAAGACGAAGGGTGGTCCAGATCTTTTCCCATATGCCTTAGGGCCCACTTTGCCAAAACACAAATTAAAGTTTTCCCTTATAAATTTAGCAAAGAATACACCGTCCATTTTGTCATAGTCCTTTCTTAGAATGACACCTTTCTGCGAAGCAATAGCTACAATAATATGGAGGCGCCAACCACCAGCCAGAGATTTGCTACCTTTCGCCGTGAAAGACAGTCCTTCCCCTCTTTTTCGCCAGACTCTTGACTTGGGCTGAATAGCTGCCTTCCGTGGGTCGTTCTTATGAATAAATGAGACACCATCAAGATAAAATGCTAAGTGGGTGGTGTAAAAATCAGGTTCACTCTGCAGGATGAACTTCATTTTGCACACATAGGAAGTTCAAAGACGCTCGTCACTTTCGTTTAGAAGACCCTCCTTACTCGCTTGCCTGAATCTGAAACCATGTTTGTTCAAATATCTTGAAATTGTTCTTGGATGTACTTTATTGGCCACAAATCCACAGTCCACCATCAGATCTTTCACTTAGTCTAGGATCTGTATATGAGTTTGTATGTGATTCATTTAGGACAGGTAATCTCAACTGTTTTAGGGTAAAATGACCATGGCGGTCAACATGGAATATGTGCGAAAACCTGAATCCGGGACGAAAGTC